ATTACTTGATAATTAATTTAATTTTGTTTTGCTTGATGAAATAATTTAGTAGGTATAAAGATAATATTTTGTATATAAATATTCATGTAATTTTAGATACTTTCTACAATGCAATAATTACACAAGAAATAATATAAAGACTTGAATTATAGTTATCACAATTATTGGGATTTGCAGGGTCGGATAACACACAAACAGAAAAAGTGAGGATGCGAATCAAGGTCATTTCTTTAGTAAAAATGGCATGGATGCTTAAGGCAAAATTATGATTGCAAAAGTCTCACAATGAATTAAAAAGACTTCTCTTGTCATTGCAAAGATAGAAAATCATAGGTTGTAGCAGAATTTATCCTTAAGTTTGTCTAATGTCCAAAAGACAAACCCAGGGCATAGCTGTATTCAGGTAGACAGATTCCAAAAGAGGAGCGGTAGAAAGGAATAGTCTGCTCAGTTACTTCTTCAAAATTGCTTAACTGGATAAAATGTTGCCACTTGCTTAACAAGAAGGAAGGAAAGAAGTTGCAAATGATTGACGGGATATTATTCATATGGAGGTCTCTTACTATGAGAATTTGAGACTTTAGGAATAGGGAATAAGTATTATTCAAATCTCTCATCTATCTCTTGTATATAAACACATGTACACACATATACATTGAAAGATTAAGACTGAAAAACTCTTAATAACATTTAAAAGAAATAATTTTTCTAAAAGTAGTAAAAGATTGCATGCTCATTAATTACAAAAAATTAAATAATAAAAGAAAAAGACAATTTACAAAATGTAGTGAGGAAGTGAAAAACAATTACTAGATATTAAATATAGAACAATTTATATCCTAATCATTCTACCTATTATACCTATTATTGTAAAATGTTTATGGAAATGACAATTATAAATTGGTATAATGATTGACATGTTACAAAATGCAGCATTGCATAAAATTTTAGTGTCACTCTATCAAGTAATTTCTCTCTTTGTAATTCATCCTTTGAAATATTTTGTTTGCCAAAGTGTACAATGCGGTTATTGAATGCTTGATAATTTCAAGATATATAACTAGCCAAATATTAACTGAAAAAGATAATGATTAACTTATCACATTACTGCAAAATATAAAACTTTATGCAGCAGTTAAAGTCAAACTTAAAATGCTTTAAAGTGTGTCTATGATAGTAGAATATTACTCTACTTATGCATTTGCATAACCCCAAAATTGACAAATAGGAATTGAAAAAGATAAGGAGCTTCAGAGAGAAACAAAACATTTTCCTATCCATATAGAGTAATGAGTAAAATGAGAAACAGCAACTTAAAATCTCTTAAGGGTCATTATAAAGAGGCAGACATAAAAGGCTATTGCAAGTTGAAGGATGTTTTTTAAAGGAGAATTCTGTAACAGTGGTTTATAACATCTAAACTCTAACCGAGTCAAGAGCATCAAAACTGTTTTGTTCCTTAATAAATTAGAGTCATTCATAGGAAAATGGATGCATACTGATAAGTGAAATAAGTAAGTCACACATATGTAAATACCATATAGTTTCTATCATGTGAAAAACTAAAAGTGTAAATAAGAGCCAAATGTTATAATTGACAATGTGAAATAGGAAGGAAAGAGCTACAAGTGTAGGGGAGGTGGGAAGGGTGGGGGAAAGAAAATAAGGGAAAAGAAAAGCTATGAGAAAAAAAACAGAAAAAAAAAGCATTTGTAAATATGGGAGGAAGGGGTGACAGGAGGCCATGGAAAAGGGAAAAAATGAGAACCAAGACCTGCCATGTAAAGGTACAAGATCACAATGATGAATGTAACTATACCGTATGCCTAAAATGTACCAGATTACCTAAAAATAAACTCAATGGGGAAATAAAAAACCTGTTTTATTCTTTACAGATGCAAATTATTTTACCCCACTCTGAACATAGAAATCAGAATGTCTTGAGTGTGATTCATCCATTTATGATTTAAGGAGTCTTCTCAGTGATTGCAATGTTGGTCAAACTGAGCAGACTGCAGCAGCTGCAGTTTCAAATGATGGACCAGTTGTCAGGAAATGATAAGAAAGTTGGGAAAGAGAGAAATCTGAAATGAATGCGTCCTCATAATTGTTGTGAACATGCCTCAGAATTTCCAGATGGAATGCAGGTACCTTGAAAGGAGATAGAAGGGATTTGTCCCATGAAATCATGCAAACTATTTAGGAAAAAAAATCTAGGAATTATCAGGCAACATTGTTTGGCTAACTTCCTTTGACCAGTAGAGTTGCAGGGGAGAGAATATGGTAGGTCTTAGATTGATGTGTCTACCAAAAACCTCATGAGTTCAGAGGTGGGACTCTTGGAAGGTGATTAGATATGGATCATGGGGGCGAGAAACTCATCAATAGATTCATTCACTATGGAATGCAGTAGTTGAGTGTGCTGTTAGGAAACTGTTCATTGCAGGTGATTTCTAAATCCCTCTCTGGCTCTTCCCTTCACACTCTGCTTCCTGACCACCATTGTGTGCGTAGTTTTCCTTCATAAGGCTCTTTTGCCCTCAGTGCTGGCTGACCATGAGGTGACTAATGTCTCTGAAAATGTAAGCCAAAATAATCACTTCATCCTTTAGGGTGCAGGTGTCAGGTATTATGACTCAGAAATAGGAATGTGAGTAAAAGAGAGACAGAGGGATGAAAAGTACTTTACTCAGTGGTGCCACGCCTGCTTCCCAAGCTCAAGGTCCTGAGTTCAATCCCTGGTACAAAACAAACAAACAAATGAACAAAGAAACAAAAAACTTTACTCAGTCACAGAACACAAAACCTAAAACCTAGCTAGCCTTTCTGTTTTTTGTGTTGGTTTCAATCTCTGTTAGGTTCACTCCCATTTGCAAAAAATGGTATCACTTTCTCTAGCTTTTAATTCTTAAAATATGTCAAATCTACATCACTTTCTTAATCATTTCTGATTCACGGTCCTGATGATACGTGCTTAATTCTCCAGTAACCACTGATGCAGGGGACTGAAGTTCCGCAATTCTCATCCAAGCTGCCTGCCCATCCCTGTACTGCATGTGGTTCATCATGTCATTTTACAGTCACATGTTCTAGGAACCATGATTTCCATGAGAATTGAAATGGGCCAACATGTTACAGATGGCTTCGTTATAAGAATTGAACACAAACAGACTTGCTCCTTTTTTGAATTTTTGAGGTAAACTACCAAGTGGAGCAAAATAGGCTGAATCGTAATTCTTCCTTGGCACAAAGAGTTGACTGAGTTTAGTCTTAAAGGCTTAAGCAGTGATTTGGAAGCAGTCTGACTCAGCAGCTCTGATAAGCTTCCCTAGGTGTCCGGGCAGGACTCGGAATTATTGCGCAGAACTGGAGTAAGATAAAGACTGAATGGTGTCCATTCAGATTAGTGACAAAAAAACATTGTTGACCTTGGCAACAAAAGCTACCGTAGATTGGGAGGAAGGGAGCCAGATGGCTGTGCATTGGGAAGTGTGAATGGGAAATGAGGGAGCAGCGACAAGTGAAGAAAATACACTTTTCATGATTTTTTTTTAAAAAGCAAACAATGAAAATAGCAGCTTCCTAAACTTAGAAATAAACACGGTAGCTGTCATTATCTCTACTCTGTTGAATTACAAGTGACTAGATTTAGTTCATATTTTTCATATATTCTAAATTATTCACATAGAATATGTACCATTTTATAGCCTGTAAAAACTTTTTTCAAAAAGTTTCAAAAATAAGTATTTAGACTTAAGCCCTAAAATGCTATACGGCAAAGATGAATCCAATTCATAATTCAATTTCTGGCACACTTCCAAATAACATGAACATCTCGATCTTCTACCAGAAACAGAGTTGTGTGCATGGCCCTGAGGCTGCAAAGGAGACCCTGTAAATTCTCAGAAGAGTTCAGGTTATACCCTAGAGCTGTTATGGCAAATTGTACATCTAATTGACAGCTTTTCTGCTAAAAACATCAATAATCTTTCATTGTGGGCTCCAGGTCCTGAGCAAGACTCTGAGGGCTCATTTCAGTAAGTTATAGCTTTGCAGGTCACCTCTGCTGCGATTTATATAATAATCTTATAGTGCGGAGGAGAAGGTGGAAGGTGTTTGGGGACGTGTTCTTACTCTCTGAAAACATGGGTTAAAGCTCTGCCTAAAAACAAAAACACATCAAAACAAAGCAAACCAAAAAAGCTAAAAAGCTTTTTTGATATTTCCCTTGCTCTTGTCTAAAACTTATTGAGAGAATAGCCTATAAAGCCACTGTTTCATTTTTTTCTCATTGAGTTTATTGGTACATTGTAGGTATACAGTACAGTTACATTCATCATTGGGATCTTCTACTTTTACATGACAGGTCATGGTTCTCATTTTTCCCCATACCTTGCCCTCCCTTCACCCCCTCCTCCTTTCCCTGTTTACAAAAACTTTATTTCCAATATTTCATTTTCCCATATTTTTCTTTTCCCTTATTTCCACTGTCTAATATTTAACAAAAATTATAGCACTTAAAAATAAAACATATGTAAGGCAAATTACTGATATGATGATATCTCTATTCATTTTAAAATCGTTTTCTTTGTTGGAAGTAAATTTTTTGAAGATTTTTTTTTTCAGAGATTTACTCACAGTTGTGTCCCTTTACTGAGAAGTTCTGGACTTAGCATCTAAAATAGTACCCACCCTCTACATGTGATTATTTCAATTTTACTTAACTAATGTCAGATAAAAAGGAAAATTAATTTAGTCACCCTACTCATCTTTCCAGTGCTCAAAAGCCAGGTGATTTGAATGGTGATCACATTGCTCGATGCATGAGTACATTTCTCCCCTCACAGATTATTTTTGGTATGATGTCAGTATAGATCTGTAACCTCATGGTAGTTAGCATGTGTAAGGGTAGGAATATTCAATATTTGTAATAAAAAATTTAATGCAATATAAACTTTATTTTTTTCCAACAATATCATTTTATTAGTAGATTTCTTCTCATCAATAAGCCATTTCTCACCTTCCTTTGAAGTGAAATACTGGATGACTAAGTCTCTGAACACATTATTGATCAGTGGGTTGGAAGGAATTTTCTGAAAGAGAAAACCAACACATTTGTAGTACAATAAATTGAGGGAACAATTTTCATTTTGGATGACTGAAACAAAGCTCATAGGTAGAAATGGCAAAGTGTAAATATTTTAAAACAACAGGTAGCTAAGATTTTTGTGGGATAAACCTCCCTTTTCAACCCAGGGTGGAAACTTGTGAAAGAAATATATTTTTACCATTTCGCTTGAAGTATTAATAACCCTAAGCCAAGTTGTTGCAAACAGTTTTTGTATGCATAGGTTTCCCTGATGGTAATCATCTTTGAGATATAAAAGTGAAGATCTCCAAAGGTTATTTTCTTTACCCATTCATCTGGTGATAATTCATATACTCTGCTTCCAGGATTTGGTTTTTATGGATAGTGATGCTATAGACATTGTCATGTACACATCATTGTAATATGTTTTTGGCTTTTTGAGAAGATAACCAGAAGGGAAACCGCTAGTGAAATGGAATTTGTAGTTTTACCTCTTGGAGAAATTTCTATACTGATTTCCAAAATGTTGTACTAGTTTACATTTACCTGAACAATGCAGTGAGGTTCCTTTTTCACCAGTGCACAATGGAATATTCCTCTTCTAAAAGGAAGAATAATTTTTAGACATCTGTAGGAAAATAGATACGCCAGGAAAACATGATGTTAAGTGAAATAAATCTGACCCACAAACTTAAAGACCATATGGTATCTCTCATTTGAGTAAAGTGAAATGTAAATAAAGAGCAAAGTCAAAGATAGATAGAAGGAAACAGAAAGATGTTTTGCAAATATGAAGGGCTCTAAGAGACTGAGGACAAGGGCAGAGGGGAAGAAAAGGTTAAATTAAAATTTTTAAGTGGGTTATGTATATGTATCCCACACCCATAATGAATGGAGACATAATTTCTAAATATGAATGCAATAATAATAGTAGTAATAATAATGAAAATGGGGAAGGGATATAGAGATGGGTGGAAGGAGGTCGGTAGGGATGGGAAGGGAACACAAAAGAATCAAGATATGTTATGTACTTTCACCTACTTCCTTTTTCAATGTAAACTTTTAGTACTGAAAATAAGAAAGAGGTGACAAAAGAGCAGCCCAGCTGCTACGTTACACTCCAGTAGCAATGCCCCTGTGACCCATTAACAGAATACAGTGGTGTTCCAGGTCTCCCTCCCCTGGCCCCTGTGAATAAGAGAAAGTAGGCCTCTGTTAGGCTCCTGTGATAAAGGCACACAACACCACCAAACTTGGTAAGTAACTCAGAGGAACCAGTACCTCACATCAGAACTTGGTCTAACTTCAGGGAAAGACAGCTGGAACCTGGACTAGAACCTTGCAGAGTTCAACCCAGCAGGAGCACAGAGTTCTCAATTTGGACCTTGTAGCCAGAAATCAGCCTGAACTTCAGGGAACAGCTGCTGACTTGCTACGATTAATTAGCTTAGAACCAGACACTCCTACCAAGCTCTCTATTGTATCAAGAGAGGCATACCCTGAAGAAGGCCCTCTATTTCTATTTGTATTTTTTAATCTTCAAAGTAATATTTCACTTATCTTTAATCATTTAAAATATTTTTGTCTATCTTTTTCTTTTCTCAATTTTCCCTTTTTTAATCTTCTTTTAATCTTCTTTTCTTTCTCTCTCTCTCTCACTCTTTCCCACCTTGATCCCCACTAATCTCCATTTTTGTTCCTGTTCCTATTCTAATTTGAATTTATTTTCTTTCTTTTCCCTTTCTTCTCTTTTTCCTTCTCTAAATTGCCATTAGTTTTAAAAGAAAGTGATTATATAAAAAAGCAAGCCCCCCCCAAAAGTGATTACAGTCTCTAGCCTCCCTGTTGCTGTTACTTTGTTCTGTTGTTGTGTATATTTTGTTCTGCCCTCTCTGCTTCTCTTCAACAGCTCCCCAGAATTTGCGTGATCTTCCTGTGTCCTCTGACACCACTTCTAACCTTTCTCTATCCTATCTAACTCTCCCTCCCCAACTCCTTCTAAATCCCCATCCTAAAGGATAAAGTTGCTATGTTATTCATTATAAACATATTCTGAGCTAGTCCTCAATTTTTATTTAATTCACACCATTAAAGGTGATAGATTAATAAATAACTATCACTAATTTTCATTTTCTAAGCTGTATTTGATGCTATTGTGTTGCTGATTGCATCACTTGGGCTAAGGTATTGTGATGGATCTAATCAGTTGTCCTCTATGGTATAATGAAATTGAGTTTGCCTCAGAGACACTAGAGACTCAAAATGTAAAGACCAGCTATATCTGGAAGATTGAAGTATTAACCCAGGAATTAAAACAAGGACAGTACCAATGAAAATATAGAAATAAAAAGGCATTTAAATGAGACACAAACACAGACTTTCAACCCACTAAAGGTAAACTCTGGGGGAAATGAGGTGGACAAATCTAACAATCAACCCTCTGGACAACCTGAACCTATAACTTAGGAATTGACAGAACAGAAAAATGAGGTTTAGAAAAATTAAAAGAGAAATAATTTCCCAGATAGCACAGAGATGGTGAGAAAAAAGAAAGACATAACTAGAGGCTCTAGAAGAGAAACAGATTTAAAAAAAAGATGAACTCAGGACCATGATGGAAACCATGAATGCCCAGCATAGGTAAGAAATGGAAACCTTGAATGCTCAACATAACAAAAAAAAATAAAATGGAACCCATGAAACAGATTCAAACAGATATCCAAGAGATTAAAAACTCTATAGAAAGTATTCCTAGCAAGATGGAAGAATGTGAAGGTAAAATTTCACATATAGAAATTAAAATGGCTGTCAGGGAACATGAAAAGAGATATCTCCTAAAAACAATAAAAGACCATAAGAAATCAATCCAGCAACTCTTAGATAATGCAAAGAAGAATAATATAAGACTGATAGGAATCCATGAAGATGCAGGAGAAACTACAAATGACATTAAAAAAAAAAAAACTGTTCATAAAAGAATGTGAAGGTAAAATTTCACATATAGAAATTAAAATGGCTGTCAGGGACCATGAAAAGAGATATCTCCTAAAAACAATAGAAGACCATGAGAAATCAATCCAGCAACTCTTAAATAATGCAAAGAAGAATAATATAAGACTGATAGGAATATGCAGGAGAAAGTACAAATGATATTTAAAAAAAAACTGTTCATAGAATTAATGACAGAAAACTTCCCAAACAAAAGGGAAGAATTTGACATGCAGATAAGTGAGTCATATAGAATTCCACTAGTCATGATCAAAAAAATCTACACATAGACATATAATAATCAAAATCCCAGAAATCCAACAGAAGAACAAAATATTACAAGAAGTTAGAGAAAAGAAACAAATCACATGCAAATGAAAGCCCATCAGAATCACAGCGGACTTTTCAACATAAACATTTAAGTTAAGAAGAGCCTGGAGTGAGGTACTTCAAGGCTTAAAAGAACTACAACCTAGACTAATGTATCCTGCAAAACTCTTTCAAAATTGATGGGGAAATAAGATACTTCCATTACCAAGAACACCTGAGAAATTTCAGGAACACCATATCAGCTCTCCAAACACTTCTAAACAATATCCTGGAGCCAGGTGTGGTGGTGCATGTCTGTAATCCCAGGACTCAGGAGGCTGAGGCAGGAGGATGTCTGTGAGTTCGAGACTAACCCAGGCTATACAGTCAGTTCCAGGGCAGTCTGAACTACATAGTGAGACCCTGTCTCAAAAAACAAAACAAAACAAAAACACCATATCAGCTCTCCAAACACTTCTAAACAATATCCTGGAGCCAGGTGTGGTGGTGCATGTCTGTAATCCCAGGACTCAGGAGGCTGAGGCAGGAGGATGTCTGTGAGTTCGAGACTAACCCAGGCTATACAGTCAGTTCCAGGGCAGTCTGAACTACATAGTGAGACCCTGTCTCAAAAAACAAAACAAAACAAAAACAACAACAACACTTTAAATTAAGAAGAGCCTGGAGTGAGGTACTTCAAGGCCTAAAAGAACTCCAACTTAGACTAATGTATCCTGCAAAACTCTTTCAAAATTGATGGGGAAATAACATACTTCCATTACCAAGAACACCTGAGAAATTTCATGAACACCATATCAGCTCTCCAAACACTTCTAAACAATATCCTGGAGCCAGGCGTGGTGGTGCATGTCTGTAATCCCAGGACTCAGGAGGCTGAGGCAGGAGGATGTCTGTGAGTTTGAGACTAACCCAGGCTATACAGTGAGTTCCAGGGCAGTCTGAACTACATAGTGAGACCCTGTCTCAAAAAACAAAACAAAACAAAAACAACAACAACAACAAAAACAATATTCTGGAAAAAGAAATGTAGACCACAACTCCATAAGGGCCAACAGAGCAAATATACCTGGCAAGGCAAGAAATTAAAGGGAGAGAGGGGAAAAAAAATAAATAAACGAACCAATAACAGGAAAATAACATGACAATGAAAAGCCAATATATAACAGTTATAATCATCAATGTCAGTGGCCTCAATTCACCAATCAAAAGAAACAGGTTGGCACAGAATGGATTAACAAGGAAAATCCAACAATATGCTGTATATAAGAAACCCACTTAATCCACAAAGAAATTCATAGACTGAGAGCAAAATGATGAAAAACAATTCTTCATGGGAGAGGAGCATGGAAGAGCATGGGTAGCTATCTTATTTGCACACAGAATAGATTTCAAACCAAAACTAATTAAGAGACATAAAGAAGACCATTGCATCCTTGTAAAGGAAGCAATGAAAGAGCAAGAAATGGCAATCATAAATATATATGCACTGAATACTAATGCCCCCAACTATATAAAACAAATATTAGTGGATATGAAAAATAAAATAAGCACTAATACAGTTGTAGTTGGGGACCTCAATAAATCACCGACACAAATAAACAGATCATCTAGACAAAAGATCAACAACAAAATAACAGAACTGAAACAAGTCTTAGAACAAATGGACTTAGTAGATATCTACAAAGTGTTCCATCCCAGAAAATCAGAATATGCATTCTTTTTGGCTGCACACAGGTAATTATCCAAAATAAACCACATGATAGTTCATAGAAAAAGCTTAACTACATGCAAAGGAGTTGAAGTTATCCCCTCTGTATTATCAGATCATAGTGCAATTAAACTGGAAATCAATAGCCTAAGAAACTGCAAGAACTTCACAAAAACATGGAAATTAAATAACACTCTTCTGAAAAACCACTGGGTCACAGAGGACATTAAAGAAGAAATCAGACAGTTTCTACAGTTAAATGATAATGCCAATGCAGCATACAGGAATCTATAGGACACAATGAAAGCAGTCCTATGAGGGAAATTCATATCAGTAAATGCCCATACTAGGAAAACAGAGTGAGCTCATAAACAAACTAATGCTTAACCTTAAGCTCCTAGAAAAAGAAGAGTAAGACAAAGCAAAAATTTGCACAAGGGAGGAAATTATAAAGATCACAGCAGAAATTAATGCAATGGAAACTAAGAGAAAAATACAAAAAAAATGAATTGAATAGTTGATTTTTGAAAATAATAAATAAAACTGAAAAACTCTTAGCGAATCTTATCAAAAAAGGGAAAGAAAAGGCTCAAATTCATGTATTTAGGAATGAAAAAGGAGAAGTCACAAGAGATCCACTGGAAATCCAGAGGATCATCAATACCTACTTCAGAAACCTATATTCCAATAAAACAGAAAATACAGAAGAAATGCACAGATTCCTAGACACATATGAACTTCCAAAGATGAATTAAGAAGATATAAAAATCTAAACACCCCAGTTACATTCAGTGAAGTTGAAAATGTAATTAAAACATTACCAACAAAGAAAAGCCCAGGCCCTGATGGCTTCACTACTGAATTCTACTTTTAGAGAAGAACTATTGCCACTCTTTATACTCTTCAATGGAATTGCAAGCCAATTAATACTTACAAATTCATTCCTGGAAGCAGCTATTACTTTGATTCCAAAACCAAGGAAAGACCCAACCAAAAAAGAGAGCTTCAGGCCAATGTGTCTAATGAACATTAGAGGCAAAAATCTTCAATAAGGTAGTGGCAAACAAAATACAGATCATCAAGAGGATCATACACCCTGAAAAAGTTTGATTTATTCCAGTGATGCAAGGATGGCTCAACATATGTAAATCAATAAATGTAATACACTATATCAACAGAATTAAGGAAAAAATCATATGATCATCTCAATTGTTGCAGAAAAAGCATTTGATAAAATTCAAATCATATTCATGATAAAAACCCTGGAGAAAATTGGGATAGATGGTCTTTATCTCAATCTGATAAAGGCTATTTATGAAAAACCAATCAGCAATATCATTCTAAATTGTCAAAAAATAAAAACCTTCACACTAAAATCAGGACCAAGACAAGGATGTCCAATATCACCCCTCCTGTTCAATATTGTTCTAGAAACATTAGCCACAGCAATTTGACAAAAGAAAGAAATTCAAGCAATAAAGATAGGAAAGAAAAAGTTAAACTATCACTATTTGTTGATGATATGATACTCTGCATAGAAGATCCGAAAACCTCTGCCAAAAGACTGCTAGACTTAATTGACAGATTCAGAAGAGTAGCTAGAAACAAAGATACACTTAAAAATCAATAACCTTCTTGTACACAAGTAACAGACTCACTGAGAGTGAAATTAGTGAAATAATTCCTTTCAAAATAATATCCAAAAAATGAAATATCTAGGAAATATCTAAAAAAAATACCTCTACACTGAACATTAGACAGATTCAGAAGAGTAGCTAGAAACAAAGATAACACTCAAAAATCAATAACCTTCTTGTACACAAGTAACAGACTCACTGAGAGTGAAATTAGCGAAATAATTCCTTTCACAATAATATCCAAAAAATGAAATATCTAGGAAATATCTAAAAAAAATACCTCTACACTGAACATTTCAGAACTCTGCAAAAAGAGACTGAAGAGGATATAAGAAAATGGAAAGGCATCCCTCGCTCCTGGGTAGGAAGAATCAACATAGTGAAAATGGCCATACTATCAAAACTTCTATACAGATTCAATGCAACCCCTATTGAAATCTCAACAGCATATTTCACTGAACTTGAGAAAACAATTGAAAAATCATTCCAGACCTATAATAGCAAAAACCATTCTAGACAACAGAGGCAGGGCAGGTGGTGTCACAATTTCCAACTTAAAACTATATTACAAAGCCACTGTGATAAAAACAGCATGATACTGACAAAGAAACAGACCTGAGGATCAATGGAATAGATTATAAGATGAAGAAACAGCACAAGACATACTCAGCTACCTCATCCTTGACAAAGGAGCCAACCATCCACATTGGAGGAAAGATAGTCTCTTCTGTAAATTGGTTTGGAAAAACTGTCTTTCAACTTGCTGAAAGATTAAAACTAGACCCCTATCTTTCACCACACACTAAACTAAAATCTTAGTGGATTAAAGATCTAAATATCAAAACAGAAACACTAAACTTACTGAACAGTAAATTAGGTAGAACTTTTGAAGACACTGGCATGGGAGAAGTCTTTATGAAGAAATCCTCAGCAGCATAAGAACTTGCACAAAGAATAAACAACTGGCATCTTTTTGTATTAAAACATATTTTCAGTGCAAGAGAAATCACCAATAGAGGTAGGAGACAACCTGCAATACTGGAAAACAAATTACCAGCTACTCCTCAGACAAAGGACTACTATCTAGAATATATAATTTACTCAGAAAAATTAGACTCCCAAATACAAAGACCCAATTCAAAAATGGGCCTCTGAAATGAACAGACATGTTCCAGACAAAGTAAAAGCAGCAAATAAGTACATGAAAGAGTGTTCAACGTCACTTGTCTTTTGAAAGATGCAGAGGCATCAATGCTGAGATTCCATCTCATTTCAGAAACAGTGGCTGCTATCAAGAAATCAACCAATTACAAATGCCGGTGAGATTATGGGGAGAAATGAACCCTTCTCCATTGATGGCGGGAGTGCAGACTCATGAAACTACTGTGGAAATCAATATGATGATACCTCAAAGAAATAGGATTGAAGGTTGCATTTGACCCAGCTGTCCCTCTGCTGGGTTTCTTTCCAAAATAATCATAGCACAATGATATATGTTTATCATATAAACATATATATGTTTATATATATATGGCACAGTTTGTAATAGCTTAAATTTGGAAACAACCCAAATTCCCTCAACTGGAAATTGGATAAAGATGGATTTTGTTTTATTGTTTTTTTTTCTATAAAATGGAGTACTACTCAGCCAGAAAGAGTGAGAAACTAGAAACATTTATAGCGAAATTGATGCATGTTGAGGCTATACTCTTAAGTGAAATAAATTGGACAAACTTGAGTTAAATACTAAATAATTTCTTTAGTGTGAATAACTAAAAGTGTAAATACAGTTCAAATGGTATAATTGGAAGTATGAAATAGGAAGAAAGTAGCTAAAGGGGAAGTGGAAAGAGGAGAGGAAAGGAGATAAGGGAAAAGAAAAATGTGAACAATGAAGAAGTGGTAACAAAGACTTTGTAAATAAGGAAGGGTGAAGAGGGTAAAAGGAAAGCGGGGGTATGGAGACGAAACGAGAACTCAAATATATCACCTAAAGTTACAAGATCCCAATGATAAATGTAACTGTTGTTTTCTCTGAATGTACAAATAAACTTATTGAAAAAGAAAACAAAATAAGAACTAATAGAATTAAACAAAACAGAAAGTATTTTGAAATAAATGTTTTTGGGAATAATAGTTCATTATATTCAGAGGTCATGGAAATACAACTTGTTACTGACTCAAATTTAGTGATTTTTTGGTTGTTTCTGTAATATTAGAGTTATTCATGAGAAAATGATAGGTTCTACTTTATAAGCTACTATATCCTTAAAGCACTGTGTAGACAATTGTACTTCTGACTAGTGATGTGTAAGGATAATGTACTTTTCAAATTCCATCATTTTTCCTCATTAGAAGAGTTAGACAGCTTTTGCATGATTTTGTCTTTTTCCCTTTTCAGTTTTTCTGATGTAGTTTGGAAATAGTTTTTTTGGAAATGTAGTTTGGAAACCTTTGATAGAACAACTTTCTGAAAATTGTGAATTTGAAACTCATCTATTACAAAAAAGAGTAAAAGGAAAATCTTTTTCTTCTAACAGATGTAAGTCCGTGACTGCAGAGCACAATGAGTAAAACTAACTTAACTTGGTTAAACAATGGAATGATTTCAACTCACTTATTAAAAATTGCAATTCCAGGGGCCAGGGATTTAGCTCAGCGGTTCAGTGGCCTGCCTTGCAAGCGCAAGGACCCAAGTTCAATCCCCGGTACCAAAAAAACAAAAACGAAACAAAACAAAATTGCAATTCTGTCACTGCAAAAATTTACCCAAATAATCCCACTGTCCCCCAGTCTGAACTCATTCTTTTATGTGTTTTAAAGACTTCCACTGACTGTTCAGGTCCTGATTCAGGCTCTTAGATGACCTCAATATTCCTTGCAGAGCTCAGATATGCACTTAGTTTTAAATAATTACCTTTATTTTAAATTAAGTTCTTTCTCTGACACAACTGAAACAAAACTTCAGTAATTCACTGTTATTGTTAGCTTCCTTTGGTTAGGAGAATCAGAAAGTTGCCTTGGCATCCTGTGTAGAACCAAGAAGGAATGAAAACAGCTAATATGTGACTGAAATAAAGCTACACCTCCTTATTGTAATGTATTCAACATATGCAGATTTATATTTAAACTATTTTTTAAAATTCCCTTACAAATTTATTTTTTGTCAATAAAGATTAAATATTCTATCAATAGTCTTCCTTCTCATTTCCATAGGGTGAAACACATAAATATTTTTCACAAATATTTTTCCCTTCTCAATTAATTTATGAAGAAATTTTAAAAATGCATGGAATTTCACATTAATCAGATTTTCCAATATCAGGGTGCTACAATTTTAATAAGGGTTATGAAAGAAGAAAAATACATGTAAACACTTTTTTTACTTCATAGGGAAATTTGTTGTAACAAATTTAGCGACTGAAAATAACAAAACTTTTCTGTCTTACCTTTCTTGAGGTTAAGGTCTGAGATCAATATACAGACAGTGCCAAGGTCTTTCTTTATATGGGCTGTGGGTGAGAAGATATTGTTTGACAGTTGATCTAGATTCCAGAGGCTGTGCAGGTTTCAGAGTCCTTCCTTGGCTTGTGACTGCATCACTCCAGTGATGGCCTCTGTCTTTACATTGCCTTCTTTAGGTTTCCATATGACACATTCTTGTATAAGAAAACATGTGAGAGCAACTTCAGTCTACCTAGATAATCCATGATAACCTCTAATGAGTTCCCTCAAAGTAATCCCTCACCTTTTACACATGTCTATATTGCATGTTTTTGAGATAAAGTAGTGAATATATATTTAGTACTTGTTTTGTTGTTGTTTTGTTTTGTTTTGTTTTGTTTTTGTGGCAGGGTCTCCCTTTGTAGTTCAGACTGGCCCTCATCTCATTATGTAGCCCAGCCTGGCCTCGAACTTGCAGTGATCCTCCTGCCTCAATCTCTAAAGTGCTGGGATGATAGGCATGTGCCACCACTCTTGGCTAGGAGTAGTTTTTTGAACTATCAAACACAGAATAATATAACTACACAAAGATATGGAGAGATCATCCTAGTAATAATCAGAGAAAGCAAGATGCATTAACATAAAAAAACAGTACTCTCAAGACTAATGTCAAAACTCTCAAAATAAATAATAAAATTAACACAATATCAAAGTCAAGTTTTTAACATTTTTAAAAGCAATAGCAATGAGGAATTTTATAACAAACATGATTATTCTTTCAAAGACCAATCAAAAGTGACATACCTAAACATATACAATAAAATAATTTGCCCAGCAAGCAACTTTAAAGAAAATCTTTAGGCAAAAGTACATCTCATGAAATTGCTGAATGAAAGGAATGAAGGGAGAAAAGGGAAAAATAAACTATGTTCATATATCATAATAACCACTATTGTAAACTGATATGAAAATGGGCTCAAAACTATTTTATTACCATACCTAACATTACTGATAGGATGTTCACACCTTGACAAAGGGTCTTCTGTTGTTTGAATTACTGTACTAGAAAATGCAACTACTTGAGAAGTAGATAAATAACAAATGCAAGATACAGTGAAATAAGTCAAATATTTATGCTATAATCTCAGGTAATGTACAAAGATTTGTAAAGATGTATAATTAGAAAGGAAACAGAGAACAAAAACATAACAAAAGAAAATATCAATGAATTCAAGATCATCACAAAAGGTTAAGAAAAATGAAAACATCTCAAGGATAAAAGAAAATAATTCCTTACTATATTACACATTTCAGTTTAAATCTATTTGTGCCTATCAAGTAAAAATAAGTAAAAACAAACAATTTAATGGTATAAGTCAATATTGTTTACTCTTAGTTTCTCCTGTCCCTACATATTTATCATGTATTCTTGAGTTAACCTAATGCACATAAATTTTTAGTTTAGTTTTTTTTTTCCATGCAGCACTGTGTATCTGTAACTTGTACCAGTAGTTTTAAAGAAGATGTGTCTACTGGATCTTATCTTAGACAAAATGTGTCTAAAAAGCTTACAGACCTGGTCTCAAAACAGTCAGATGTCCCTAATTTACCTGCAATTATATCTTAGATACAGACACATCTTCAAATTTATTACTTGTGGGACTTTGTTATATGGGAAAATAAATAAAATGAAAAAATTACAGTTTATTTAGAAATAGCTTTAGAGAAAAATGTGTGACTGGACCCTAAAATGTACCAATAAACTCAATTAAAGCTGAAAAAAATACAAATTTCTGGGAGTGCAAAAATATTTAGCTTGTTATCTTTCTGTTTCCCAATAAGAAACAGACTAAGAAAATATCTCTGATTCCAGGCGGTGCGTATACCTTATGATCTGTCCTCTTTAAAGTTTGTCAAATAGAATGGTTAAACTGAAAGAGCATCTTAGAAACTGATCCTAATAGTGAAGGGTAAAACCAGTGTGCCTCTCAGAAAAGTTAAATGATACCTGGTATAGAAACATTTTCTTGGGGTTGAGGATTTAGCTCAGTGTTTCTGGCCCTGACCCGAGTTTGATCCCCGGTACAAAAAAAAAAATCAAAATCTTAACCCTAATTTGGAGAGACCTGAACACATATATCCACTGACCATAGAGATTGACTTCACCACTACGCATAATGATTGCCCCTGTCCTACAGTCTTTTTCTTTTCAAATGGAAGGCTGCTCGCAGTTCAACTCTTCCCATTTTATCACTGAATGCTGAGTGTGTAGGGACAGATAAAAGTTTCATTTTATGTCACAATTGCTTGAAACAAAATGATGCCATTCCGGCAGATTTCCTTATTGGATAAGAATTTTGTTGTTTGGGGACAGAGAAAAGTACATTTGCCAAGGGGAGATGCATAAATCCTTATGGCTATAGAATGAGCTACCATAGCTCACTATCACAGCTATCAAATAAGAGACAAAGTTGACCAAAAATAAATGGGGGATAAATAATTTCTTTCATTTTGCAGAAAAATATAAAGTGCCAGAAGAAGCACTGTAAAGCATACTACAGAGGATTTCTAAATATTTATTTTTACAAACTAATTACTAATACAAGAATTATTACTAGAAATTAAAATGTTTGAAATGATAAATTATAAAAGAAATTTTATAGACAAGTATAAAAATGTTGTTAGTTTTCTGTGTCAGCATAGCATCAAAATATAAAATGTGAAAATAATGGTACCGTATATAGAAAAATATATCAATTATTATTATGGAAAAGTCTAACAGGTTTCCAAGTTATTTATAAGAAATATAATATCCATATCTTCTATACATAATCATGTAGAAGAGTGATAAACACAATTAATAGAGTTCAATTAATTAAAATACACTGGTGATCCAATAATTGAGAAATACATATGATTTTTCATCTGCACCTGGATATTTACCCAGAGTGGAATTTGCTAAATGATGAAACAAAATCACGTAAATTTCCAGATATTCAAGTAAAACCAACTATATTCTCTACCACAGGCAAGATAAGGTAAAAATTAATAACAAAAAATAGTTTAAATTTACCCAAATACCAAGGAAGCAGTGTACACTATAAACACTCAAAGGAAAAAATATTTGAATATTTGAAAATATTTTTATTAAATTAAAGCAACATAGACACAGTTCAAAAATACAACATAACATTATTTTATGAATATAACAATGACATTCTTAAAGGAAACTGTATATCCATGAATATGTAGCTATATGAAGATACATTGAAAACATATTATAGAATTAATTCCAGAAATCAAATAATAGATATGGACATTAAGAAAGATCACCAAAAATTTAGATCAAGACATATTATATTGAAACTGCAGAGAATTATACTACAAAGAGAAAATTTGAAAGACAGCAGGTAAATGAAAAAAAAAAGAAAAAAGCCTAGAATGAATATAACATCTCTTGCCTATAATGAAAAAGAATGAGAAATATATTGCGCTTTTCTTAACAATTTATGGAAGCAAAAAATAAAATAAATAGAGCAAGTCTAAAGTATCAACACAGAATTTTGTCTCTCAAAAATATTTGTATATTAAAGGCAAATAGTTACTCAGACAAGTGAAAGTTGAAAAAAGATCGTTGGTTGTAGACTTGCCTTAGAAGTATTTTAAAAATCTCTTCAAAGAGAGGAGAAATAATATAGGCCACTAAGTTCTACAAAAAATAAATTGAGTATTAGAAAATAAATAATTGAAGAGAATAAAGGTTTTTGCTTTTCTTATTATTTAATATGAAGATTAAACACTTTCCTAGCTTTCACAAATTATTCTATATATTGGGTGCTATATCAACCAAATCTTAGACATTTATTTTGTGCATACAACGACCTATTGTAAAAGTTGTGACTCTCAATATTTAGTCAGATAAACACAGTACTAAAGAAGAGCGCAGGCAGAGGGGTTACTTCCCAACTTCAAAAGTTACTGAAGGCCATAATAATCAAAATAATACAGTAATAAGGATGAAAAACAGATAAATGAATCAATAAAACAGGACAGGAAGATTCGAAAAGAGACTATTTCCAAAACTTTCAACTATGCTTTGAAAAACAGAAGCGCCAATCCAATGGAATGGAGAAGAGAATATTTCTTCAAATAATAACGCTAGAAGCACTGGAGTCTTCAGCAATAACTGCATCTAAACACTGATCACACATTTTTCATAAAAATTAAGCCACTACTGACCTAAATGCATAATACAAAATCATAACACTTGTCAAAGCTGATATAGAAAGAAAAGTAGATTTGGTGATGAGTTTTTAAAGTCATAACAATCAAAGTCCATAAAAATTGATTACTTGTACTTTATTTTTTTAAATTATGCTAAATATAGAATTCAGAATATGAGAATAGAAGCCAAACTCTAGAAGAAAATATTTGAAGAATATGAGTTTTATTTGGGATCTGAATCAAAAATTTAAATAATTCTCAAAATTAAAGAATAAGAAAAAACAATAGAATGCAAAAAATTCATGAACAGAAATCTCTTTAAAAAGATATATTTATGGAAAATAACTTGAATGACATCAATATCACATATCATTCGGGAATTATGAATTAAAAGTCACACTGCTGTACAACTATTGCAGTGGCTACAATGCTAAGGATCTAAAAATACTAAGTACTGGTAAGTTTTTGGAGTAACAGGATATCTCATCCATTTTTGATACAAACACAAAATCATACTGTTACTTTGGCAGGCAGTTTGACAGTTCCTTGCAAGCTAAACATATTTTTATCCTACAATCTAAAAATACAATCATAGACATTTACCTAAATGTGTTGAAATTCATGTCTACACAAAATATCGACATGAATGTATATCGCAGGTTTAAAAATTGTCACAAATGCAAGCAACCTAGAAGTCTTTTACAGGATGAATGAGTAAACATACTAAGATAGATCCATGTAATGGAATATGATTCGGGAACAAAATGAAGTCTGCTATGAAGCTATAAGAGGTCATAAGTAATCTTAAGTGCATACTGCTAAGAAAAGTCTAAAAAGACTTTTTGATTCCACCGGGGATTTAGCTCAGTGGTTCCATGGCCTGCCTCTCAAACTCAAGTACCCAAGTTCGATCCCCAGTACTAAAACAAACAAAAAAAATAATGTGGAGGATAAAAAGACTTTATGATTTCAAATATATGCTATTCTGGAA